GTTAGATTGAAAGTTCATATCTCTTAGATCATATATATCAAATTTTATATTAATCTAAGATGATTTGATACTTCATTCTCATAAAACAAAATTGACGTAATATATACATTTCAAAATATACTAAAATATGAACACTTTGATTACCTTCAAGTTGTTCAATTTTAACAAAATTTGACATATATGATCTAAGAGATATGAACTTTCAATCTAACGGTTGGATTTACAAAATTCACAATTAATATAAAGTTATTGAGCGGTGTAACACTTAGTAAAAGTTACACCGGTGTCGTTTAAACCTTCCTCTATATATATTATTTAATTTAGTCAAATATTAATATATATTATACTTCTAAATCTTGTTTTTAATCACAAAATACTTAGTCAAGACATAATTTCAATATTTAATTTAGTTGTTTAAATATTAGGTATTCGATTCTCACATTTCTTTTTTCTCTCCATGTTCACATTTCTCTTTTCTCTCCATGTCCTAAGCTGGGTTGTGGTTAATGGAAACCTCTCATATTTGTGTAATTTGCACCTAATTTTTTTACCTTCCTAGTTTGCAAATAACTATTTTGTCAAAATGAAACAACAAAGCTACATGCATATGTTGGCTTACAAGTTCCACATTTTTTTGTGAGATGTAACAGTCGGGACACACTAGAATCAGAGGAATTAAAAGATTTGTACAAGTGTGAGATTATACGGTAGATAATAATTTTAAAAAAATTAATTTGTACTATCTATGCCAAAAAAATTATTTATTTTTAGGTACTCATCACTTAAGAACTTCACAGTGTGTTTCTCTCTGAGAAATTTATGAATGAGTAACCTTCTAGGAAGTTTTCCAAAAAAGTGTGAGTGAAGATAAAACACATTGAAAAGTTTTGTGTTGATTTATGGGGTCATTCATTTATTCTAAAGGTGGATGAATATCTCAAAAAGAGCTACCCACAAAGGGTTCTAATCAGTGAAGGGTTTTGACCAATAAAGAGTTGTGGAGTATCACTATGTGAAGTACCATGGAATGAAACCACTGAGATGTTAAATTTGATGAATGTTTCAAATGGTATCAAGGAAGTCCTCTCTCTCTCTCTCTCTGAGTACGATGTGGTTCAAAAACGAACCTGGCAAAAACTAGTAGGCTCGTAACAATTGTGACACAGTATAATGAAAGAGATTCAAAGATTTGTACAAGTGCGAGATTGTACATTTGAGAATGACTTAAAGAAATTAATTTGTATTATCTATATCAATAAGATGTATCTACTTTTCAGTAATTTATCACTTAAGAACCCTATAATTAAGCATATTTAGCTTGGAGTAATATAAGGATGAATGCTCTTTTGAAAAGTTTTTCAAAAAGTATTTAAATGAGAACAAAAGACGCTAAAAAATCTTATGTTAATTTGTGAGATTAATTATTAATCCTAAAGGTGGATAGATATCCGAGAAAGAGTTATTCAAAAAGGTTTTGACCAATAAAAAGTTGTGTGAAGTATCATGAACATATGAGAGTTTTGTCTCTTTACTTGCTCTTGGCCTAGGGTGTTTACTTTTTTTTTTTTTTTCCACACGTCTGTTAAAGCTTATTAAAGAAATATTTTATATTGAGTATTTGGATCAAATACAAACCAATCCTAAACATTGTTTTATGTTACCGTTAGCTTTTTCACGTATATATTTAATTGAACAATGTTTTCTTATAAGTAATTATAAGTTTATTCTCTATAAATAAATAATGTTTATTTGGGCCAACAAACATGGGCTTTGAAAATAATAAGTTGTGCTCTCACATGATTTTGGGCGTATAGGCATGTGTTTTGGACTAATATCTATATCTATATTAACAATAAAAGATTTTTTTTTATTTGGAGTTCACTTTTGATTTTCCTATTTTATTTTTAATAAATATATATAACCTCTAATAATTATATAAATTTATTATTTTTTTAACGGAGACATTTAGTGCTTTTTTTTTCTCACTGGTTTGTCCTAAGGAGGATACACTCTTTGTCTCTTCCATACACAAAAAGAAGAAAAAAGAAAGAAAAAATTTTTTGACAAAGGAGAAAACAGGAATCATACTAAATCATTTGATAATTGAATGAAATTGGAGACACTCTTCGTTCATATAAGATTCATTGTATTCAGGGACTCCCGTAGTGATCAATATCTTCACTCAATTGCGAAATTTATTTTATTATTTTTTCCATATTATATTGTCATTTGTGTGTCATTGTGTTTAATTTTTGTTCACATTATTTTTATTAATGTGAAGTAAAAGATATATTATCTTATTTTCGCTATTCAAAACTTCTAAATAGTAACTACTAGTTTTAAGAAAATATTTTGGGAGTTCATTTTTTTTTTCTAGCTTTCCTACGTGTATCTTTGAAAGTACAACTAAGAAAGAAAGCAACTCTCGTTAAGACAATATCGAAAGTGTATATTTAATTTGAAGTGGGATAGTAACACGTTCTTTCACACACATATATATTACATTTTTTTAATAAATAAACTATAGCATCATGTGTCATTTCGTAAACCTAGGAATCCGTGTCATTTTCTTATTATATCGCATGAATAAGAAATTAACATTGTTATTCTTAATTTAATAAAAATGACCGTATTATATTATTTTATAAAATTAAGATATCAAGTTAAAATTTTTAATAATAAAGAGATCAAATTAAATAAATTAAATTAAATGAGAGACAAAAAAGTAATTTAACTTAGTTAAGATTGATATATCAAAATTAAATGCATATTTCAATGTAATACTTTTTATATAAAAAATTTATCATATCATATATAAAATATGAAGATTAATTTTTATGTGATAACATCATGTCAAGAGGTCAAATTTAAAAGGAGTCAAAGAGAAGTGAGTTAAACTTAAAAGAATAAGACATAAACTTTTATATTGATTTTGAGTTCTTTTTAGTAGTCTATTTTCTCTTTTTTGTAAATATTTTCTTATTTTTAACCTTGAATTTTTTGACCAATTAGTATAAGAAGTTATTTCCTTGTAATTTTTTTTAGGAGTGTAAATATTATTTTAGGGGATGTAATTAGAAAATGAGATATAAACTTATTAGACTTAAATTGACCCGTGAGAGAATCATGGACGTGAGGTTCCTATTAGGGATAACAACGGGGTGGGTTGGGCACGAGTTTCATGATACTCGTCCCTGTCCCCGCCAGTTAAACTCATCATTGTCCCTGTAGCCGTACCCATCGAGTATATGATTTTCATCCTCATCCTCGTCCTCGTCGGGTGTCAGGTATACCCGGATCCATATCTGTACCTGTCAATTTTTTTATTTTTTATTTTTTGTAAAAAAATATATGATATTTTTAAATTATTTTTTTATTATTATAATTATAATTAGATTATTTTTTTATCTCATATTATAAT